CACTTGAGCCCAGGAGTTGGAGGTTGCTGTGAGCAGTGAAGCCATAGCACTCTACCCAGGGGGACGGCTTGAGGCTCCGTCTCAAAAAAAAAAAGCCAAGTGTGGTAGCTCACACTTGTAATCTCAGCAGTTGGGAGGGTGAGGTGGGTGGATTGCCTGAGTTTAGAAGTTCAAGACCAGCCTGAGCAAGAGCAAGACCCTGTCTCTAAAAGGTAGCCGGGCACTGTTGCTATTTTTTTTGTATGTGGACTATTTAAAAATAGTCCCAGCTACTTGGGAGACTGAGGCAAGAGAATCGCTTGAATCCAAGAGTGTGAGCTAAGATGCTACAGCACACTACCAAGGGTGACCAAGTGAGACTCTGTCTCAAAATAAATAAATAAGTTTACTTTAATAGTTAAAAAAAAACATTAAAGTGAAACTGAGGGATGTGCTGACCTTTAAATCCCAGTTTCACTTTTGATCACATAGTTGTCATCTTTCTTGATTGTATTAGTTGGTTTCATGTTATGATTAATTCATCCTCTTGCCTCACCCTCCCCAGTAGCTGGGACTACAGGTGCCCACCACGATGTCCAGCTATTTTTAGAGACAGGGTCTCATTCTTGCTCAAGCTGGTCTCAAACTGCTGAGGTCAAGCCAACAATCCACCGGCATCGGGTTCCCAGAATGCTAGGATTATAGGCGTAAGCCACTGTGCCCTGCCTCCATGTTGCAATTTTAAACAGGCTTAACTCACTGCTGTGAAAGATAAAGAAAATAATATTTACACATTTTGCTGCTACTTCCAGTTGAGTTACATGATTTGGCTCTGTAAACCACAAGTCCCCCAGTTAATGGGTCTTAATTCTGTATTTAGTTGTGCTCACACCATTCTCTGTACCATAGTTTTCTGCTTGTTTCTGGATATCACAGAAGGGTATTTTCCCGCTAGTGGGGGTTCGTGGCACATTCCTGGACTTCTTTCCCGCTGGCGATGCCCTTGCCCTTGATCCCCTGTGCTTTAGTCACACTTCCTCTCCAAACATGGCTGCTGCAGCATCTTTTGGTGGAAAAGTCTAGTCAGCCAGATTTTTTTCCTTATAGTCATCTTGGCTTTTTCTGAGTAAATATGTGCAGAATTTTTTTGTTTGTTCAGTTTAGCAGTCTGATAATTTCACCAACTATGCTGCTGTTGACTACTCTTTATTAGTTTTTCTTAGAGCCGTTTCCTGTGCAGACTCTACTCTTCGTTTATTTTGGGTAAACTTTCTTTAGTTGCATCCGAATGTGCTTTTCTTCTGCTTACCGGGTTGTATAGTTTAGAGATGGGAGTTCTTACACCTTCTCTTTCACATCCTCTCTTTTTCTATTACATTGCTTGGTTTCATGCTCTGATTATTTGAAGCATTTGCTGTCTTGCATTTGAGGTGCAGCCTCACTGATTAGCTCTATGGTGATATCTCTTAGTCCTTTGTTCATTTCCTTCGCTTTGCCTCTCACTTTTCATCCCATTCTCTTTTATCCAGTAGACTGGGATCTGTTCTTTGTGTGTGTGTGT